CCCCAAAACCCCAAAACCCCAAAACCCCAAAACCCCATTGGTATGGAATCAAACTAGTTTGGCATTCGCACTATAAATTTATAAGTTAAGTTATAAAATGAGAAGGAAAAACTAAGTTCACTCACTTAAAGTTATACGAGATGCCATTAGTCTCGAAAACTAAAAGATGCTTGAGCGTCTAATTGACGTCAAACCCTAGTTAATTATTGAAAAGCCAAAGCAATTTGGGCATTTGGACGACAATTTGAAAAAGCGAACTATTCTCGAAAGTAAAGTTACATTGATTGATAATACTGATCTCAATATTTGTAGTGAAGTATACTGAGATTGAAAGGGAAAATCGAATATTGCTTGAGAAAATGCAAATCATTTTAAATAAATAGCAAGATAATTACCTGCATCCGACTTAATCAATCATATAAAAATAGCACGGGGAAATGATTGGGGTTAATAGCACTAAGGCATTGAATAAATCTCAGTTGAGTCATTATGAAAGTACATCCGTGTAATTGAAGATTCTCCCTCATGAAATTAAAAGGAAACGAGAAAACGAAAGGATAACTGAAGAAAATAAAAAGATGCTAGCCAGACTATAGAATAAATAAAGTCAATATAATGTTTAGGGGTGGCAGGAATAAGAGGTTAAAAGACAAGGATTACTAAGAATTATATCATAATTACCTTATCATGGAAATAGCAACAACAATGAAAGTACTTAGAGCTAGGGAAGAAACATCTCAATCAGCCAGCAATCGATATATAATGAAGATACTTATGGTTTTACTCCACTGAAGGTAGATTAAAAGCATTTTTAATCATCAAAACTGTCAATATCATCGAATAAGATGCATAAAACCAGTACCAATCCAATGGGAGTCAATCAAAATAGCAACAGTTAATTGCAGTTTTATAGTAAAAAACCAAAGCAGTTGGAAGTTGATAGATTGGTTGTTTATAAGAAAGGTAAAATGATTTAGAATGAGTACTTTATTGTAGAAATTTCGTATAACAATTGAGGTTTCTTCATCTCTCTGTTTTCAATGGAAGATGAAAATTAGAATAAAATGCTTGAGATAGAGAATCAAGTCAAGACTTAGCAAATATTAGAATCTTTTAACAATGATTATGAATTACTATCAGATCACATCAAGATAGTTAAAGATCAAATCAAAATAAGAAGACCAGATGTGTCGAGAGATATAACTTTAGATTTGAATAATACAATAGTAGAGGAGACTACAGCTAATAGATATGAGAAGAGAATTAAGATTTAAAAGAACCATCAATCGTAGTTACGAAATCAGAGTCGAAATCAAACTCAATAGCTAGTTTATACTGAATATGATGATGGGGATTTATAGCAAAACATTGATGGCAATAAATCCGTCGATGTGATCAAAAGCAGACCATAGAATTTACTATCAGGCAAGATAATTCAAAAAAACAAAGGCAACTTTTAAAGTCTAGTCAGAACTTCAAACAACAAGTAGACTAATTTGAAATATATGCTGATAAATAATGCTAACAGCAGTAATAAAAATTTAAATTCACAATTCTCAAATTAAAGAGAACTTAATTAGCGATCTCAGATAAACTTACTTAGAACTAATGATCAGAACAAAATTATGAAGATACCATAAATAATACCCCCACTAAGTTTGAATCAGTTGTCTAATACCTAAATTCAACTAACGAATATGAAAGATAATCCAAGCTAAAATTATTAAGAACTATCCTACAAAACACAGCAAGTGCTTTAAGATACTAATATGAATGCAACTTTCTCTATAAACCAGAAACATAAGAGTGTAAACGATTAGATGAGTACTACTTTTAGTAATAATTTGCCTTTGGCTTCAATACATAAGTAATCAACACTCTAAAATCCTGCTAATTAGTTTAACATCATTGAGAAAAAAGATTCTCAAGATAGTTATGAAACACCTCCGACATAAATAGATTTTACAATTAGAGATTAAACCAACTAGAAAGAAAATACGACGGGAGTGGCTTTCGGGTAGGTGATTTTGGGTGATAGTGAGAGCTACGAAAATGATGAGTTCATTGAGGAAACTATACTTACTAAGGAAAAGCAGTCTCTTTAAAATTAAAGATCTCTTAGATACCAATAAGATTCTATAAGATACGAAGATTAAAAGAAAGATAGGTTCTAATAATCTAACACTTCAAAGTTTAGAGATCGACTTAACTTGAAAGAGTATGCTTTGTAGTAGCCAGATTAGAACGAGGTAAAGACAGAGAGTCAGCTAGAGTCACTTTAGTCGAATGACATTATTAAGAATTATGGCCTAGATAATAAAGAGGAAGATGAAGAGGTTTAAGAAGAAATAGATGTAGAATATGACTAGGAATTCGATTAATATGAAGATGAAGGAGATAGCAAAGACTGATTGATGAAATATGTGTGAAATATTGAGAGTGTTAGATTATAGTTAACTTCATTAATAAATGTGAATGAATTGTTAGAAATACTTATTTGCTGATAAATCGAGGTTCTATACATATATTCAAAATGTTCACAATTTTCTAGAATATTTGCCTAATCAATAATTATTTTGCTGTCAGATGATGATCAGACATGGAAGCTTTCCCCACACCCGCAATGCCCCTTCGCATTGGGGTTATTGAAAACGAACTCACTTTTTATCTCGTTATCCACGAAGTCCATCTCAGTGCCAACCACAAACATAAGGGCTTTCTTATCTACTACAACTCTGACTCCTTTGTCTTCAACAACCTCGTCTAATCTAGTGATTTAGTCCTTCTTGAGATAGTCCATGACATAACTATAGCCATTACAGCCTCTTCTCCTCACGTCTATTTTTACTCCGTAAATATCCTCCTAGTCTTCCTTTACCTCCATCAATTCCTTTATCCTACTTGCTGCTTAATCTGTCTACAAATTATTCATTAAAATTATAGGACTTACTATGAGTAGTGCTGCTTTCTTTTACCTAAGGGGCTTGGCTGCTTGATTAGCCTAAGCAATGGTTGAAAAATTAAATACTGAAATTAATTTTCTCATTAAATTATTATCTGAATTATTATTGAAATCAAATAATTATTGTTTATAAAAGATTTAAATATGAGTCAAGAGCTACTTATTAAAAAATAGAGATTAGAACAGTATTTCTAAGACTCATTTATCTTAAATTTAGGCTAAAAAAAGAAAAGGAGGAAAGAGAAAGGGCAAAAAGGATCAAGGAGATTGAAGAAGCTAAAGCTTCTAAGAAACCTCAAGCGGCAAGCAATGAGTTCATGAAAAAGATCTTGTCAGATGGTGCGCCATTAACTAGCAGTCAAATTGAGGAAATGATACACGGTGACGAATAGCAGATTCAGCAGCAAGAACCTAAAGAAGCAGAGTTGAAGTTTTCCTCATTCGTGATTGAGATAGAAATTCACCCAAAGGTATAATTTTAGACTTAAATCTTAATGAATTTTCCTAATCACCTTTTATAGCCTAAACCAGAAACATATGATAGGCAATTATAAGCAGATATAGAAGATCCAAATATAAAAGCTTAGCAAATGCAGTAGTTTGAGGATGATTATGCACCTCTTGACAATAACTTAGTGTTTGGAGAATAAGCCGCTAGAAAAGGCACAGTCGTCTAAGTAGGACTGATTTCAGCAGCTGGCGGGGGTGTTGCTCCTTCAGTCAATGATAGTTCTAATCATGGATCTCCGAGCAAAGAAGATGCCAATGAACTTAAAAACGAATTGAAAGTACTTACCAAGGAGGAATAGAAGAGTCTAATGAAGACAAAGGAATTCGAAAATTTCATCAATAAGACCTCTAAGATTGTTGAGAGAGCACTCAGTACAAATATTGATATTCTTGGCTCATTCTTTGATGATGGTCATGATGAAAGTTAAAAGAACTCTGGAGCTCAGAAAGGTGATAAGATTACAGCTCTATTTACATTCTAAGATAATGAACCACTAAAGAGAGCTATCACATCTATTGAATGGTCTCCAAAGGTATAATTTATCTATCTCTAATCTAAAATAGGTGCCTGAGCTTTTAATGTGCAGCTACTCTAAATGCAATGAGTGGAAGGTAGATGAACCTGATGGAATGATAAATCTTTATTCACTTGCACTTAGAAAAAGACCAGAGCATACACTAGTATCTCAATACGAAATCACTAAGGCAATCTTCAATCCTTTCTAGCCAAGTGTGGTTATTGGTGCTACTTACTCAGGATATATTCTATAATGGGATATCAGAGCTAAAAATATTCCCATTCAAAAGTCATGTCTAGCTAAAAACGGTCACAATCATCCAGTTTATTCACTATCAATCGTTGGTTCTCAAAATGCTCACAATATTGTTAGTGTAAGTAACGACGGTAAATGCTGCTTCTGGTCCTTTGGTATGCTTAATGAGCCTAAAATGCACTTCAATATTGCTTAAAATCCCATTAACCTTGGAGCTGGTGCCTCAGGTTCAGCTGAAAATTTAATGATTAACACTTCTTCTATGGATTTCCCAGAAGATGAAACTGATAAATTCTTTATTGGTAGTGAAGACTTCAATGTCTATGGATGCAGTCTTCACCCAAATAATCAATAGCATTTGACTTAAACTTTATCCTCTCATTAAGCTCCAATCACTAAAATTCACATGCATCCAGGTGCTTCTCAAAGTGAAAAGAGTAGTGACATCAGTGATCTTCTGTTATCAGCTTCAATGGATTGGACAGTCAAGCTATGGTACCCTAAAGTTAAAAAGGAACCACTTTTCACCTTTGAAAGTTCTCAAGAATATGTTTATGATGTTTAATGGAGCACTGTTCATCCAAGTGTTTTCGCGACATGCGACGGTGAAGGGTATATTGATATCTGGGATATCAACAGAGACACTGAGGCTCCAGTCACAAGAAAGAAGACTGGCTAGAGAGCTCTCAATTGCTTAAGATGGAGTTTAGATGGAAGAAAGATAGCCACTGGTGATTCAGAAGGTTTTGTAAGTCTTTGGTCTATAGATAAAGAAATAAGCATGCAGAAGAGTGACGATTTCATTAAACTGGAAAGACTTATTCAATCTCACTAATAGATAAAAGTCTGAAAAATTTATTATTAATCAATTAATATTATTTTTCAAGATAATATTTGATGCTGAATACTGGGGTTTTGGGGTTTTGGGGTTTTGGGG